GTGTGCGTTCGTGTGCGTGCACGGGCGTCCCCCGATAGACACCCCCCATGCTGGTAGGGGAAGGAGGAGGGGGGACACACACATTTGTCACACTCCCCCCTTCCCCAACCCGGGTAGGGGCTGGTGGGACAGAAGGTGCTGCGCTGTAAGACAATTGCGGAGCGTGAAATTCAATTAGTTAAGGGCCTGGTTGCAATTTCACAGGCCCTAAAAAAGAGAGAAGGAGAAAAAAGGTGGAAAAAAGGGGGGGACGTTTTTATGGCCTTTTTTATTTATTTATTTCGCTTCTCTCCCGAGGTGGGTCCCCCTTCCCCTCACCCCCTCCCCTGCACCAGCTTGGATATGCCTTTTTAAGAAGTTATTTAGAGTTCATATCTGTCACATCTATTTAACGCCCGTGGGGTGATGTTCCAGAGGGGGGATCCTGACACCGGCTGATCCTGCCTCTCCTCCGCAGGTGTCCCTGTGAAGGTCACCAACGCTGGGGATGGAGCCACTCGTTGCACAGCACTGGAGCTCTTCGTGTACCTGAACGACATCGCGTGAGTGCCACGGTGTCCCCTGCATCCTGGCGCCCAGATGGCAGCATCTGTGTGGTACCCAGCGCGGGGTGGAAGTGGGATGCTGGTAGTAGGCGCATCCCAATGAGCACAATGGGTAGTGGTGAGCAGCATGAGGGTGGGATGGCCCCACTTGGGTTCTAGTTGTATCCCACTTGTGCCAGTCATGCCAACAAGTGGAGCCGGGCGCTGAGGCCAGGAGTACAGCGGGTATCCAAGGCTTTCCTCCCTGTGCATGAAGAGGCATAAAAAGTCTTATTAACATCCTCTGTATCTACTGTGTGTCCAGGTTGCATGGCTGGGTGAGGGGGGGCTGAGACCTGGGGCTCCTCTACCTGCAGGGCACCCTTCAGCCTGGACCCTAGCTCCTGCATCTTGGGGGTATCAGCTCACCTTGCCTGCCCATGGGGGTCTCTGTGTCCCGTTTGGGTTTTTTTGGGACATGGACACATGCTGACTGAGTCCATCACCCTGTGATTTCCTGCCCTGTGCCACCCTGTGCCCAGTTTCTGCTGCCACAAGGGCAGAGCCATCCCCAGGGACTTGCCTAAAAGTACATCAGCACCCACAAGGGCACCCGCTCCTCCTGCCCTGTGCCAAATGCCATCCTCCTTTGTGCCTCTGCCTTTATCCCCCCAGCACTGAATGGGAATGAACTTTTCCCATTCACTTCTTACATGTTAATTAAGTGGTTTTAAAATGACTTCGGCCACTGGGAATAGAGCTGTGGAGCATCCTGTCTCCTTGCCTGGTTTATTTTCCAGTGGCCCAAGGTGGCCCAGCAAGGAGGAGGGGAAAAGGAGAGAAAATCCATCTCCTTGTCATCTACTCTATGTGGGGGTCATTAATGATGGTCACCAGTGCTCTCAGGGGCTGACCGTGCTGTCATGTGGGGTTTGTCCCCCATTGTCCACCCCTCTGACCCTCTCTTGTGCCCTGCTGAGGCTGCTGTAACCTCCCTTCTCCTTGGCAGGGGCAAGCACGGAGTCGGGCGCATCGACATCGTGGAGAACCGCTTTGTTGGGATGAAGTCCAGAGGTGAGCAGTGACCCACGGGCAGTGCCACCCCTGCCCTAAAAACAGCAGAAAAGGGAAAACCCTGGTGGGATGTGGTGGGTGCTCAGCATTGCTGGGGTGCTGTGGCTTAGGTCATACCAGCAGCCCTCAACTGTTCCCTCCCCATCAGCTTTAGATTCCCCTTTGATAGGGATTTTTCATTGCTCCCTAATGCAGGCAGCTGCCTGCTTGCTGCCAGTGCCGCTGTCTGCACCATCCTTGGGTACCAAGGCCACCGGAGACCCCAGGTTTCCAGTGGGAAAATCCGTGATCTGTGCTGGAAGATGCTCATGGGAGGTCCTGGAGGGTGCAAAGCGCTATAATACAGGTGCAAAGCACAGGAGGCCAGTGTGAGTCACTGAGGGATTTTAAAGCCAATTCTTTGATTTATCTGGGTTTTTGAGGCTGTGACTCTTAGTATTGATCATCCATTAGGATCAGCTTCATTGGAAATCTCTGCAGGCAGTGAGCTGCCCCATGCAGAACTAAGTATCGAGGTTGCTCAGCATCATTTCCCATCTCCTTGCCCCTGCTCCTTTGTTTTAAATCTCATTAATACCAAATTAGATGCTCCCTTCCTTTACACTTGCCCTCTGTGCAGAGCATCAGCAAATATTTTGGTAAGGCTCAGCCTGTGGTCTCCCTCCCCACCGCAGGGCACCAGAGAGCATCAGCCACGAGAGGCAAGAAGCAAAACCCCAAATCATTTGATCTGTGTTTGAAGAAGCAAATTAAAACCAAAAGAAGGAAGGAAAAAGAAACCCCAACCCGCTCGCACCCGCCTGTGCATTTGCATGCAGGATGCTGAGTAATTTGTCAAAATCTGGTTTATTTTTTTAAGAGGCACTGACACGCTCTGGTGACCCTTCAGCATTTAATAATTTCTCTAAACCCCATTTATCTGTCATGTCTGTCTCTTGTGTGACATTGCCAAACAATCGGTGCTGTGTGTGCTCGCCACAGATGCAGGAGGACCGGGCTTACTGGGAACAGTGGGGCTGGGTGCTTCAGGGACCGGGACCAGACCGTGACAGTGGGTTTTTACCCTCGCTGTGAGCAGCATCCTGCCCCCGTTTTGCTCTTTGGGATTAATAGAAATCTCCTAGAAATATGCTCTAAGAGATGCTCTGCGAGAGAGATGGAGAGATGAGTCTGGAGCAGGAGGAGGCTGCTGGTACCTACCTGGTTTTGGGGTGTAGGGCATCTCAGGATGAACCCCACCACTGCACTGACAGAAGCATTTTGGGACCCCAAATGGCACTAGGGTGAACGGGGAAGGAGATTGGACCTGGGTTTGCAAGTGGGAGGTGATCCCTTAGATCCCAGCAGCAGGTGGAGGCCCTATGGGCTTGGGTTGTGCAGGTTGCTTTGGGCAGTACAGGGACCCCGCTCTGCAGGGGAAACTGAGGCATGGGCAGCACAGCAAGAGCCCTCCATGACCATAGAAGTGGCAGCAAAGGTGCCTCCTCTCCCTCACCTCCCAGACCCGGGGAGCAGGAGAAGAGCAAAACTCACTTGCATTGATTTTTACTAACCTCCTAATTGAACTTCGTTAAGGCCTAATGGGCGAGGGGCGAGCTGAGCATGCCCCCACCACCTTTTCCAGCCCTATTAACTCGGGTTTGCCATATTTGTTTTAGCGGGAGGACGGTGGCTAATTATGGGGTGTCGGGGAGCGGCGCTGCAGCCGTCCAGGGGGCACAGCTCGGCCGGGGGCTTGCAGGAGCCTGGCGCTGCCTCTCCCGCCTTTCACATCCTCATTATCAAATTATCTTTTTAACTCCAAAGGGGGGCTAATTAAGTGAAGTAAATGAAATCAGCGGGGAGGAAGCGGGAAGGAGGGGACAGCCGCTGCCAAAAGAGCCGAGCACTGCCTCAGCTGCGGCTTTTCCTCCCCTCAGCTCTTGCCTTTCCTTTTCCATTTTCCTCCTCTCAATGCACTGAGCTGATGGAGGAGGAAACTCGAAAACCTTTTCCCTGTGATGAACTCATAGCAGGCCATGCTCAGCCTCAACCCTGGACCAGCAGCGTCCCCCTATGGGTAGCATCACCATCCCCTTCCCCTCGGAAAGCCACTGCATCCCGTCCTGTCCCAGGGATGACAGCCCGCACTCAGCACAGCAGAATGGCTCAGATGGAGGTGAACTGACAGCAGAGGTTACAGATTTTAAGCAGCAGCAGCTGTCTCCTTGGCTGCCCCCCTGCATGTCCCCCCCTTCCCCAGCAGTAATTACGGGGTGATTGAAGCATCGCCAGGCTGTGGTGCTGACACCTCTGTCTTTTTCTTGTAAACATGGGGAGATGAAAATAGACACTTGGAGACGCTGCAAGTGTCACTTTGAAGGTGTCTCTTGTCTCCTCGGTGGCTGGGAGCACGGATGTCAGCTCCCCTCCCCTCTGCCCTGGCTGTCGCGCTCCGGTCCTTGGTTCTTTAGCATCAGGTCGAAAGGGACAGGCAGGGGTGCAGGCACACAGGCAGGGGATGGGGGTCAGGACACAAACCCATGCCTTCGTTCAGCCCACATGCGTTTTAACACCTCCTAAGGGGAAGGACAGGGAATATTAATTGTGTCAGTGCATCTTGGCTCCATGCTCTGGGGCTGGAGTGGGCAAGCAGCAACCCTCTGTGCTCACCGTGTCCATGGGGATGGCTGGCTTTGATGTTAACTTGGCTGTCTCCTTCTGCAGCCCTATGGGGATGGGTGGATGGTGAAACCCTGTGAGCTGCCTTTGGGGACCAGGCTGCAACACCGCTGGGGTGGCCTGAGAAGAGGGGATGTTCTCCTTTGGGACAGTCAGGGCCTGTCCCGTGACTGTAGGATGCTGAGATCATGGACACTGGTAGGGATGAGGTTTGATGAAGGGTTTTGGGCTGCTGTGGTAGATAGGGCTCCTGCTGCATCCATGGGAGTGTGGCCACCCTGGGACAGGACACACTTGAGCCTGTGCCACACTCCAAAGCACTGAGTGGGCAGATCCCAGTGCAGGTTTGAGCCCCTGTGGCAGCCCATGGGCTCCTCTCACCTCTTGCTGTGCTGGCTCTGGCTGGGGAGATGTCCCCTTTGGCCGGGATGGTTCCCTATGTGGTTTCTTTGTGTGCCAGCAAAACCCAGCTGTGCAGGTTCCCTTCACCATTCCCATGGTTGTGCCGTAGCACAGATGCCTGACACTGGAAGGGGACAAACAGGGCACAGGGACATGCTGGTGGAGCAGCCTTGGCTATGGGCAGGTAACATCCATGCCAGACAGCCTCAGTGTTCCCCCCTCTATCTTTCCACGCACATCCAGCCTGAAGCCACTCTACAGCCACCCTCATCTTAACGGCTGGACTTTTGACGATCTTAAAGGTCTTTTCCAACCTGGTTGGTTCTATGATTCTATGATATTTAAACACCAAGTAAATACGTTATACAGCAAATAACCCCTGAGCAGCTGCAACCAAGGGAGCAGCTCACCCACAGCGGTAGCCCCCATCACCAAAATAATAAGCATCCCTCCATCCCCAGGCCTTCTGCAATGCAAGGGGGGGCCCTGCCATCCCCAAATGAGGTTGCCCTCCCAGCCCCCAGGTAGCCTCATTGCTTCCCAGCGGCCGAGGGGAGAGGAGGGTATTTCAGGCCCTCGCTCCCCGTGCTTGTGCCCCGCATCGTTCCTTTAATTACAGGTTTTCAGCAACACAGCGCTGGGCACGGATCGGCGGGGGGATCGGTTCCCAAAGCCTGTCATTTAGCCTCGTCAGAGTGCCTCTTCAAAGAGGGGAATCTAGACATTTTCTCCACAAGGTGCGGAGTGGACTGTCTCGGCCCCAGCATGAATATAATGACAGATGCATTTTACAGCGAGCCGGGACTGAATGCGCTCGACCACGGCTCCTTCTGTCAGCCAAGTCATTATTTTTTGTCATTTGCTGACAGTTTTGGTCTCATTCGTTTCTCTCTCTTTTTCTGTTTTTCCCCCTGCCTGGAAAAATGGCTAGGTATCTATGAGACCCCAGCGGGAACGATCCTATACCACGCGCATTTAGATATCGAGGCCTTCACCATGGATCGGGAAGTACGGAAAATCAAGCAGGGGCTCGCCTTGAAATTCTCCGAGCTGGTTTACAATGGTATGTATGGTCCTTCAGTCCATTCCTGCCACTGCAGCGTCCTCCCAGCCTTCCTCCTCTTCCTCCCTTGTTGCTACTGGAGGCTGCAGGTCCTACTGGTACACGCGCTTAGGGCTGTAAAATTCCAGTGTGGATTTGGAGGCCGTTCACACGGGACAAAATGGGTTTGCTCATGCCAAGGGCTGAGCTTGACCTCACATTCTGCCTGTTTTCATGTCGAGGAAGCTCCATGCCTGCCTTCGGGAAGATTTGCTGACGCAGGATGCTCCAGGCATCTCTCCCAGCCCACTGCCACCGCTTCGTCCCATCCAGCACATTCAGATGTCTCACAGGCTGTAATTCACTGTCCCTTTGTGTCCCTCCAGCTACCGCGGTCCAGGATCTGTGGGACAGCAGGGTCCTGGCCGTGCTATGCGACGCGCAGCCCACACAGCGGCACTGCGGGTTGTGGCTCCAGCCTGGCCATGCAGGGCAAGGACAGCACTGCCCGCGGTGGGCCGGGAGCCATAGGGGGCAACAAGGGGACACTGGCTCTCACCCGCAGTTAGGGACAGAGACAAGCCCCTTGCCCTTCCTCCCGCAGTGTGGGTCTGCTCACGTGAGATGAGTTTGTGGGGGTCTCAGTTCAGTCCCCCTCCTGCACTGCTGGGGTGGGTACTGCCAGGTTTGGGGTGCCGGGAATGGCACCCCCAGGAAGGGACATTAGCACTGCCCCAGGGTTTGCTCCATGGATCAACTCAGTTGCTGGTGCTAAGCTGAAGGAAGCAGGTTTAGCCCAAAGACCCGTTGATGGGTTCGAAACCCCGCTGCTCATAGCTGGCGCCTGCTGCACGGCTCCAAGTGGTGTGTCCCCATGTCCTGTCCCCTGTCTAGTTCAGAGCTGATGTCCTTGGAACCCCGCACTGGGATTTTCCTGTCTCTCAGCCAAACAACACTTTTATCTTTCACATATCCTCATTTCTTTGCCTCCCAATTCATCCTCCCATCTCCTTCTAGGCATTTCTCTCTAACCACAGCAGCTGGCAAGATTCCCTTGTGATCTTCCATGGGAAGATCCCCCAAAACCAATCTGACTCTGGGAGCTTGGGCTTTGGGCAGCAGCAGATCCAGTGGGACTGGGCCAGGCTGTCTTCTCCCCTCTAGTTTCTGATGCCTGTGCTCATCCTCAGCACCTTCCCCTTCAAGGATGTTCCCTCCTGTACCTTCCTCGGCAACTGCCATTCAGTGCTCTAGGCTCTTTGCTGCTTAGGTGATATTTAGGGCCCTGACAGGGTGAGGGCTTCTGCGGCTGCAGGAATCTTGGTTACCTTCCCCTTGAATCACAGTCTCTGATTCACTCTCTGATGCTGCTCCTACCTCTGGCTGCTTTTATCAGTCTTAGTCCTGCACTGCCTTTATTTTGACTATTGTATTTCTTAGTTTGAGCATAAGCCCATTTGTTTATTTCTCACCATTCACTTGTGAAACCACCACATTAAAGAGCCACTTGGGGAATCGTGATTTCGCTTCTCCCTCCCCACCTCTGTCAGGCAAAGGCTGCTGTTTCCCTGGCTCCAGATGCTGAATGCCCAGGGATTTTCAGGATGGTCCTTTGGTAGCTGAGCCCAAATCCAAGGAACACCCTCAAAGGGGTGCAAGCAGCACCCGTGGGTCCCCATGCCGGAGGCCAGGCTTTCAACCTCACCTTCCTTTAACACCTCATTATTGCAACTAGTCCTGATTTGAGGAGAATTAGTGTTTATCTTCCCCCCATCCCATTGATCCCATTGTGGAGGGGTGGCTTTGAAGCCAGTTCCCGTCCTGCAGGTACAGCCAGGTGTGGAAATGCCATTGTCCCTCTGCCCGCACTGTTATTAGGGCAGGATGGAGGTTACAAGGCAGGAAGATCATTAAGGGGGATCCGCTTCCAATAGGGAATGTGTGTGCAGTGGGTGGCGAGGAGGTGGGATACTTCCTCACACCTGGAGCTGTCAGAGCCAGGATTTAAGTAGCTGGTTATTACTTTAATGTGTCTTGGGCTGCTTTTCACAGGGATGCAACAGCCCTGCATCAATCCTGATGTCTGAAGAGTTGTACTTGGAGGGTGGTTACCTAAGTAGGGGTGTATTTGCCTGGATCTGGACTCCCTGCCTGAATGGCAGTGCTATTGATGGGATGGGGTCCCTGAACCCCCTGGCTGTGCCATGGTGGGGTTTGGGTAAGGGATGTGGTCTCGGTGGTGAGGGGTTGCAGGGCTCTGAAGCCGTGCCTCAGAGCAGGGCTATGTGGATCCCAGGGATGAGGCTGCAGGATACGGCCCCGCTCAGGGGCTGGCGAGGGCAAAACACAAAAGAAATTGTTTGTTGCTTTAATGGCTTTGGCCGGAGCGCAGCTGGGAAGGGAAAGGTGAGAGGGCACCGGTGTGCGGGAGCGGAGGGCGATGGGGGAGATAAAACGTGGGGCTGACCGGAGCGTGGTGAATGGGCTCTTTCTCTCTCCACCTCTATCTCCCTCTCCATCTCCCAGGCTTTATTCTAGGTCTCTGAGGGCTACCTGGCTAATTACCCTGCTTAGGGACAGGAGGGGGCACAGGGATAGCAGGCTGGGCTGTGGCCCCTCGGTGCACCCAAGGTGGCCTCGGTGGATGGCAATGCCGGGGGCTGCTCCCATAGGATTTGTTTTGGGGGGCTGTGGTGTGACCACATCACCCCAACACCCAACCTGGGCACTCACCATCTGAGCTCTGGGGGACCTGGGGTGCTGGGGGGCTACTGTCACATCTGGAGCTGGGGTGGGAAAGGGAGGCACTTGCCATGGTTGTGGGTTAGATGCAGCTTTCTGTGGGTGCTGGCACCTTTTCCCTGTGTCCCACCAGCCTCTTGCTCTGGGAGTACAGGGGGAACAAGCCAGATGAGCAGAGCTCAGGGTTGGGGTTGGCCCTTTGGGGCTGATCCCTGCCCATCCCAAGAAAGAACAGCTCATCTCCTTCCTGGGGCCTGGGAGTTGATCCCCCCCAGTTCTGCATCCATTTGTCTGTCTCTACCTGACCCTCCTGAGAAGGTGTTTTTGAGTGGCAGCTTCATACTTAATGAAGCTTTTGATTTCCACGATCATTTCAACCTGGCAGAGCTGGCAGGAGAATGGCCTCACTGCCTCTTCTCCACGAGCCAGTCCCAGCCTTCTTTCCCAAGTGGGAACCCAAGGGCCACCAAGTGGAAGGGACACACATGAGGTTTCCATCCCTCAGAGCTGAACCTGGGTGTCCCAGCACCTCATTTCCCTCTCCCACTCCTGCAACCACATCCCTGCATGGCCACCTTGTGGCACCCTGTCCTGCCCGGTGTCCCCATCACCCTTCCTCTTGCCTGCAGGCTTCTGGCACAGCCCCGAGTGCGAGTTCCTCCGGGAGTGCATTGGGCGCTCGCAGGAGGCCGTGGTGGGCACCGTGCGCCTCTCCGTCTTCAAGGGGCAGGTTTACATCCTGGGCAGGGAGTCCCCGCGCTCCCTGTACAACGAGGAGCTGGTGAGGTGAGTGGGGCTTGGGGGGCCGGGGTGGTGGCAGCGAGCGTCCCATCACATCTCACCCCATCCCATCCCATCCTACTCCATCCAGTTGCATCCCGCTCCATCCCATCCCGTCTTATCCCATCCCCAGTGACGCCATCCTCCCAGCCAAAGCACGAGCCATGTTTTCAAGTCAATATTATTCTTTTTTCCCCTCTGGCTTTTCCCTTTTCTTCACGTTGTTTTCTCTTTCTCTCTTGCGCTCACTCCCCCCCAAGCCCTCCCTTAACCCCTTTCAATCTCTCTAAACACTTTATAAGCCATAAATACACCCGAATGAGTTTAGATCAGTCGGAGTAAATGTCAAATTATCTTCTCTCTTTCTCTTCTCTGGCTTTTTTTCCCCCTTTCCCTCCCCCTCAAAATCAACAGCTCCTAATAATCCATCCCAACCCTTCATTATGTTTCACACTCTCACTTGGAGAGATTAAATGAATAAAGTATATAAAAAAAATCAGGGAAAAAAAAAAGAGGGAAGAAAAAAAAGGAGGATGGAGGGGGGTGGGACGGAGGAGAAAGAGAGAGGGAGAGAAAAGCAGGGGCACTTATTCTCCCTGCGTCTCCAACCATTTTCCTTTTCTTTTTGATTTCTACATCGCTGGTTTGAAAGCTTTTGAGTGACGGCGTCACAGGAACCCGAGAGAAAGCTGTGAGAGGCAGAGCTGTGTGGAAATGCCTCTGCACAGTAGGTAGAAAGTAACGTAATTATAGAGCAGGTCAGAACCACTCGAATGAGCAAAAATAAAAGCACAGAGGTTTTTCTGTAGCCCGTCAGGGGAGGTAAAATCGTTGTAAACTCTTTTTTTTTCTTCTTCTTCTTCTTCTTTATTTCCCTCCACTTCCTCCTTTAAGGTTTGTGGTTTCTGGGAAATGAGCCGTGTGTTTTGGGGATGTAGGAAATCGTCGGAGCTGGGATTTGGTGGGTGGTTGCTGCCTTTGGATAGGGATGTGCTCAGTGAGGCACTGGCCACTGTGGCCATAAACCCCATCGGTGCCAGGGGGTCCTCAGCACCACTGCCCTGCCCTGGACACTGATGTTCCTGCCTGGTAAGGTTTGTGGTTTCTGGGAAATGAGCCGTGTGTTTTGGGGATGTAGGAAATCGTCGGAGCTGGGATTTGGTGGGTGGTTGCTGCCTTTGGATAGGGATGTGCTCAGTGAGGCACTGGCCACTGTGGCCATAAACCCCATCGGTGCCAGGGGGTCCTCAGCACCACTGCCCTGCCCTGGACACTGATGTTCCTGCCTGGCATGGGACAGCCATACCCAGGGCACAGCTCTGGGACAGGGCGAGCATCCCTGCTTGATGCAAGGGGAGGAATGGTGATGATGCACACGAGGGACCGTGGTGGGAAACTTGGGGCTGTGTCTCTAGGATGGCCATTGGGGTGACCCTGTGGATCTGCCATTCCAAGGCCACGTGCCCCTTCCCCAAGGGATTGATGGGGACCCAATCTCAAGCCCCCAGCAACTGAGGAGGGGCAGCAGCAGACATTGGACTATGGGTCCAAGGACCCAAAACACAGCCCCGAGCCCCTCAGCACCTCCCAACCCAGTGATATGGTGCCTTTCTCTCTGCAGCATGAACGTGCAAGGGGACTATGAGCCTGCTGATGCCACCGGCTTCATCAACATCAACTCACTGAGGTCTGTGGGGTTGAAGTGGGACCTTCCCCAAGGGGGGCAGAAACTCCCCAGCACTCATGGGGCTATTCCCCTTCGCTCTGGGGGTGCACCAAGACCTCCACTGGGGTGCAAACACCCCCACCATCACCAGCCCTGCCTAATTACAGCTTTGCCCAGCACAGCATCTTGTTATTTGACTTACTTCTCAGACCCCACTATACATATCATCCCCCCCCAACTCCAGGGCTGTAAAACATGCCACATTTACATAATGGGCTCTTAATTTTTCTATTGCCTGTTAACTGCTTTGTTCTCCCTGATCCGCCATGTGTCCCCGTCCCGTCCCCCCCCAACTCCTCTAAGATAAATTAATTACATTATCTCAGGGAAAGGGGAACAAAAATAATTAAACTGTACAGGCCTTAACAAACGCCTGCTCTTCACGCCCCCTCATTCTGCTTAAATTAATTGAAAGGAAATGTGTGTTATTACTGTTAATTTACAATTAATTCATTTAGGAGGTTTTTTTCTCTCTAAACCCTGTTTTCCAGGCTGAAGGAATATCATCGTCTCCAGAGCAAGGTCACCGTAAAGCAGAATGAATAGCAATCAATCGCGCGCAAGCCTTCCCCGCTCCCCCCTTTTCTAATTTCTCTTAAGAACTAGCACTAATTGTGGTGGTAATTTGTAATTGTAACTCGTCTCCCCGGAGGTGATGGCTTTGTTACGGGGCAGCAAGTGAAATGCAATCATTAAATAAAGGTGGTTGGCCAGAGGAGAAGTGGGGGAAAGGAATAAAACCCCAGCCACGCGCGGGGTCCGCTCATTGAGAGCCGGGCTTTATTCCTGCCTTGTTTGTTTGCTCTTCTGGCCCAGCGCTTCCCCAAGCCAGGCTTTGTGGAATTTGTAATGGATTAAGTGGCTCTGAAGGACGTGGGGGGGTTTGGTGGTACCTTGGTGGGGAGCAGGGGGCATCATCCCGCATGGTGCTGGTCCACAAAGGTGAGCGGGGTGGTGGGGATGGGTTAAGAGGATTTGATCCTCTTTCTTTTGCCTTTATTTTAGTGTGTTTTAAGAGCAGAACTGGGGCTTGTTGAAAAGGGGAAATATCTTCGGATGGTGTTGCAGGAGAGGTTGGTCAGCGGGTTTTTCTCCCATCCATCATGCCTGGGTGGGTTGTGGGTCCCTCCATCCCTGAGGCTCAGGCTGCAGCGCTCAGCCAGGATGCAGAGGTGGCATGGTGAGGGATACGTGCTCCAAAGCTACAGTGGAAGCAGGAGGAAAGAAAGAAAACGCTTTCTGACCCATGCAAACACCCAAGTTGTGCTGCTGCTCCACACTGACGAGGATGGGGAAGGACCCTGGCATGTCCCCAGGCCGAGAGCAGAGATGCTCTGTGGGACTGAGAGTGATGCACCCTGCAGTGCCCAGGGCACAGATGCAGGGAATTGGGCAGCCCCATCCCGGCAGCAGGGACGTGCTGCTTTCTAACACATTGGGGAAGCAAAAACAGAGTGGCCACCAGAAAGGGGCACATTTCTGGAGCCCCGGGGGGACAGCCATGGCATGTCCCCAGGCCGAGAGCAGAGATGCTCTGTGGGACTGAGAGTGATGCACCCTGCAGTGCCCAGGGCACAGATGCAGGGAATTGGGCAGCCCCATCCCGGCAGCAGGGACGTGCTGCTTTCTAACACATTGGGGAAGCAAAAACAGAGTGGCCACCAGAAAGGGGCACATTTCTGGAGCCCCGGGGGGACAGCCAGGCCTGGTGGCCGTCTGGGGACTTACAGGCGGCCCCTGCCTGCCCCGCTGCTCAGCCGGCGAGTGTGACAAGCTCTGACATCACAGCTGGGAAAATAACATGTTATTTTCCCAGCTTGGATGTGACTTTCCCTGCTATTACTGGCAGCGACCATCTTGGGAGGAGAAAGCAGCAGAAGGCTGTCAGGCGAGGGGAGAGAAATGGTTTTCTGGGCTGGTGGAGCCTGTCCAATCCCTGTGGGGTGTGGGGATGTGCTGTGGGGCTGCCCCATTCCCTATACCTCATTGCTTTCAGTGGCGAGTCCATGCTGAAAGTGCAGCTTCATATGGGGGTCCCACATGAGCAGCATCCCAGAGCCCTGCAGCAGCGGTGATGGTCAGCGGGGATGTGGTGCTGAGCCCGCATTGAGCCTGCACTGTTCATCCTACAGCAGCCTCCTCCCAGGTGGAGGAAAGGGCTTGAAACCTCATCAGGAGCCACCTCCTGGGGGCATCATCCAAAAAGCAAGGTGGGAAGAGAGCAGCAACTCTCCAGGGTGCTGTGCTGGCCCATGGGACCTCCCCTACTCACCCTTAGCAGCGTCATGGCTTGGCCATGGCAGAGGTCTCTGTTGACAAAGTAGAGTTTGAAATAACTCAGTGCAATGAGGAGATGGTGTCTTTTTTTGGAAGGAAAAAACCCAACTAAACAGAACAGTGTCACCGCAGAAGCTTCTTGTGCTCCAATGCTTGAGAAATGCCAGATGTGCTCTGAGAGGGGTCATCGAACCAGTGGGGCCACCTCTCCCTGGGGTGCTTAAAACATCAGCTGGAAAAAGCCATTTAACTCCAAGGCTTTGAAATGGCTCCAGCACTTGTGCTGCAGCACTCTGGAGCCCAGACCTGAGGGTCCTTGGTGGCCCATGCCTTGCTGCACCCACTGGGATGTGCAATAAGGTTTTTGGCTGAGGATGTTGTGTACCACAGCATCTCCAGCTCCTTGGGCAGCACAGGGATGCTTTTGGAGGTGGTGGTGGATGTGGCTATGGTCAGCCTTGGAGGAGCTGCATGTCTTGGCTTCCAACTGGGCTGAAAATGCATCGTGCTGGTAAAGCAGAGCTTAGTGTGTTGGAGTCAAACCCAGTGCGAGTCTTACAGGAGGAAATAAAACCCTTTGAAAGCCATGGGATCACGGGATGGAGGAAACCCAGCGCATCCCTGCCCTTTCCCCCTTGGTGCAGCAACCAGGGGCTGCAGCAATAGGATGCTGTGAGTCAAACACCACATGTTTAATTACTACTTTAATTACCATCAGCCCTTCCAGTTCTCAGGATTTGGTGGTTTCTCATTATCCCCCTTGCATGTTCCCAGCATCCTTCCACCCCTGGTGGTGTACTGGGGAGGTATTTCAGGGGCTGCCAGCCTCATGTTACACCAGGAGGTGAGCAGCATGGTGTGAGAAGTTCCTGAACCACCTGATAACACCCTTTCAGAGGTATTTTGGGATAATATATTGGGTTTTCAAGGTGGCAGGCTTGTTTCTGCAGCACCTGGCTGTAAGGGCAGTGAGTGTGGGGTTCCCCATCCCCAGGGCAGAACATCCCCTGGGAAAGAACCTGGATCACTTTGAAGCTCTTCTGTGCATCCCCGCTCAGCATCACCCAAGCTCCAGCGGGCCCAAAGGCAGCCTCTGGTGCTGGGGGTCCCTTGGGGATGCCCTTGGGAAGCTGTACCCCCTCTTTATACCACGGGCCATGCTATGGGGCTGCTCTGTCGCCCTCCCAGGCTGTGGGGAAGGGCTCGTCTGGGGTCACAGCAATCGATATCTCATCTGCAGGCTCTCCTAGCGGAAGTGATGGTATATTGGAACATGGTAATGGGTCTTGTCTAGTGGAAAAGGCTAATCTTCCCCAGCTGTACAGGATCTCTGCAGGTGTCCTCCGGCTCTCCCCGCTGCCACCAGCCCTGCAGCCTGTCAAGGAGCACACACGTTGCTTTAAAGCTGCAGCACTCCAATTTATCCTGGTCCCGGTGAGGGAGAGATGCCTCCACCCTGGCCCCATGGGGTGCAGAGCTATGGCTGGGCTTTCCAGTGAAGAACTGGCACTCAGGGTGGCATCATGAAGCACGGGCAGCTCACATTTGCTGGCTCAAAGTGGATACGGTGACGTGTCCTCCAGCCTCGCTCACACAGGGATGGCATTTCCCCAGGGAGAGGAGGACGTGAGGATGATGGCAGGAGGGATGTGGCCCCCCGCCTCGAGTGCCACCTGGAAGTGTAGGTGGGAAGCATGGATGTACTATAACGAAAAGCAGGGGTGAAAGCTCCTTGCTGTTAATTTGCCTTCTTTGGCAATGCACTTGCTGCTCAATGGAGTTCACTGCATGGCGTTTGGTCCATTTTGCCCATCCCTAGGGATTGCAGAGGCAGATCTCCCCTTCCCAGATGGTTAGAGAAACCAGGTCCTGGTTTCTCTAAGCTGACCAGCCAGTGCTGGCTACTGCAGCCTCCTGCATCACTATGGCAAAACCAATTTCCCTGTTTCTCTGGAGTTCAGGTAATTACTGGGTTTAAGATTTAATATGCATGTGGATTTTAGTGCAAGCGTTGTCAAGAACAACTCAGAACAAACCACAGGTTTGGGCAACGCATCCTGGGGATCAGGTGTGGTCTTGGTGTGTGGAGCTCCCACATGTGGTCTGCAAAATGGGGGGCTTGGGGGTGCCCATCAGAGGCTGAGATCCCATCAGATCTGATCGCATGGTTGTGCCTAAGATCACACCTGTGATCTTTGTTCAGGGCAGGGATTTTTCCCTGCAAAGGGCAGTAAGAATAGAGAAAACAGAAGAATTCCCAGGGGAATAGAGCAGCTGTGGAGCTGCTGAGTTTTTGCTTAAACTTTATTTTACTGGGCAGAGAAAGGGATCACTGGGTCCATGTCAGCAAAAGGGATGATGTGTTGCAGGAGGAAAGCAGGGAGGTTTGTGTGGCTGTGCCTTTTGAGGCTGCGTCCCCATCATGTCCCTCCTGTGCCTCCATCTCCCTGTCTGTGGGGTGTTTAGGTAGGGACCCCGGCCCACCTCTCCCAAAGGAGGGACAGAAAACCCTCTTGTGCTACCCAGTATCATGTAATTTTGTGCTTATGGCTGCAGTGCCAAGGATGGACTCCCCTCAACAGAGACACCGGTAGTGATGATGCGCTCACAGGAACACCACGGGATCCCCATGATGAGAATTTGTCTCCCCTTTTCCTTCAGAGACATGTCCCCAAGCAGCTCATGGGAGCAGGGAAGGTGCCCTGGGCCCTGCACACAGGTCACAGGGGCTGCAGCACAGCACGGCTATTGAGCGTTTCTATCTTTCCAAGGGAAAGCCATCCATCCCCCCGGTGCGGTTGGGAGTCGCCGGTCATGAGCTTCCCAGGCAAGGGGGAGATGGTCGCCTTTGTAAACCCCTTAACAAGGTGGCTTTGTCTCCCCATTTAACAAGAAGCTCCCTTGCTTCTTCCCTGGGAGTTTCCCAACGCCGGGTCCCTGAAAGCCAGCTTTATGCTCCGGCCGGGGACACGCTGCCGTGGGGCCGGCGGGGATCAGAGGGACACAGGGGCCCTTCTGCACGCCCCTGACAAAAGGCTGCCCCGGGGGGACAGAACGTCAAAGCTCAGCCGGCACAGAGGGGGGGACAAGGGACCCTCAGAGGAGGCTGCGGTGTGAGCCCGGTGTCCATCTGGTCACTCGATCGTGGTGGCAGCGATGCTTGGGGAGGGCTGGGGGGTCCTTGTGGCTCATCCCCATGGAGAGGGGGACAGGTAGGTTTTGTTGGCTGCAGGTAACCGGATCTGCAACCGTTTGTGCCTTCCTACCCTCTGCTCAGGCTTCTGGGGGGGGTGAGAGATGGGAGGTGGGAGCCAGGAGCTGAGGGCTGGAAACTGAGACCTCTGTTCAGAGGGGATGGAAATGGGTTTGGAGAGAGCTCAGGGTGCCTCTGCTTCAGCATCCTG